CAATGTAAGAATTTAGAAAAAAAATACTTACAGCTTGCAAAATATCAAGTCTTGTTGCTGTAAGATACATGAGACAACCAACAAGACTTCTAAAATCAGTCTCATTAACTTTTTCTACACCATCCTCTTTGCAAAGCTTCAGCTTTTGAAACATTGGAGTACTCATAAGCTTAAAGGTCTCCATTTGAAATTTCTTTTGCATATTTCTTCTGACTAATAAAGATTCATTTTTCATCTTGTTTGACTTATATTCCAAGAAAGAAAGTCATTTCTCCATAGTTTGTCATCTCAAAGACTTTCATCATGTTTTGCTTGAACTCCTCAACAAAGGCAATATTGTTTCCTGTCACCAAGAGAACATCCACGTACAAAGAAACAATTAAAATCTTAGCATTCAAGCATTGCACATAAAGAGTTGACTCACTGAGACTTTTTGAGAAACCAATACTCAGCAAGTACTCATCAATCCTACTATATCAAGCCCTTAGTGCTTGCTTTAACCCATACAAGGTCTACTTTAGCAAATAAACCTTGTCTTCTTGTCCTTTAAGTGCAAAACCTTCAGGCTGCTCAACATATATCTCCTCCTGCAAATAACCATTCAGAAAAGCATATTTTACATCCAACTGAAACACCTTCCATCCTTTTTGAGCTGCAAAAGCAAGAACCAATCTGATTGTATTAAGCCAAGCAACTGCAGCAAATGTTTCAGAGAAATCAACTCCAAATACTTGAACATATCCCTTCACTACAAGTTTAGCTTTGTGCTTAATAAAATTTTTATTTAAATAAAAAAGATCTCATCACAGAGTTTCATAAAACAGTTCCAAACATTAAAGAATTACAAATTTATATCAAAGACTGCTACAAGACTAATTCAATTACATCATAGTTTTAAAATACAATATAAGTCCTATAGCAGTTCATTCTCCTTCACTGAGTTCGATGCTGATCGTCTTGGTCACATGAAAAATAAATGTAAGGGTGAGTACTCTACACTATTTAAAACGCATAAACATAAAAACTCACCTCAAATACTACACATTTACTAACATATTTTAAATCATGCAACTACAATGTAAGCATCTCAATCTCAATCATAATCATCATTCATCATTCATCATCCATTCCAATTCAAAACACAATCGGTGCACTCACTGCACTAACATTCATACACGTGCGCTTGCCACACCTAGCCATGCTCACTATGGCACTGTGATCACAGTTTCACACTATAAATGGTCACCGGTTACCCCTACCTCATGGATATCACGTGGGCAGTCACGGGTCGCTCAGTAAAGGTAGTAGTCAGAGGTCTAGTCAAGAGGAGAGTGTGTGGCCCGTGGTACACCCACGCTCACTGTTAGTGTCACCACCACTCTCTTTTTCTCAAGATATTTCTACTGTCTCCATCTTCTACACCTCTAGTGTATTGCTGAACCATTCATAGCATCATTACAATGACGTTCAACACATCTAATGCACACGCACATTTTCAATTACACACAATATTCATATTCGTGTTAACATTACACAGCACATAGGCCCATAGTCGTCCGCACACACGACACAAGTGCTCACATTCATTCACAATATATGGCCCGTTGGCCCACATTCATTTACAAAGACATATCAATAGGTCATCCATATCCATTTCTAACCATTTACATCATTCAATCATCATTCCTCAACATACTCACACACATTCTCAATCAAGGGTATAAATCCCATAATCAATTCACATTTCACTCCAAACACATAATAACTTCATCAAATCACGCATTTTCTACTCTCTATCTCAGCCACATCACAACATTCAATAAAATAAACGGTAAATTAAACACAATGAGATAGGGTAGAGTCCCTCCCTTACCTCAAATGAAGACCCACACATACTAATTCAATAAGGTAGGCGCTCCCCCACACGAACTTGACCTACATACATGGAAGAACCCCATGAAAACCCAAGAAAACTGAGAAATCAGAGGATAGGGATGAGAAACTGAAACCCTAACCATCAAAAACTCACCTTCAAGCGTTCTCTACACAAATCCAACCTTCAATCTTGTTCCTAAGCGGCTTGGAGGCAATTTAATTGGTGAAATAGGGTTTGGGAATGAGAGAATTGAAGAAATCTCAAAGGGAAAGTGAGAAATAACTCTTCCCCAAACCCTAACCCCTTTAAATCCTTTTCTGGTCGCGACACTCTCATTGCAGCGACATCCTCTCTTACTACAATGAAAATATCAGATAAAACTGTACCCTAGTTTCTACAAAAATCTTGCTACAACGAAACTTTCTCACTACAGTGAGGCTGCACCCAGAAATGCACATCAAATTGTTGTTTTGTCGCTACAACGAGACACTCACGCTACAACGACAAGGCGACAGTTTCACGCCTTCTTCCCAGGGCCTCTCGTTACAGCGAGAATACCCTGCACCAGAATACTTAACAAAATTTTAGTCTGATTACAGCATACACATGTATTCTCATCAGCCTATATATATATATATATATATATATATATATATATATATATATAATTATAATTATAATAATAATAATTAATAATAACACATGAAAGTCTACGTAAACACTTATATTAATAATTAAATTATATTACAAAATTTGGGACGTTACAGCATCTGCGTTGTGTTTGGTCCTAAACCCCCATTTAACACCAATAACATTTTTGTGTTGAGGTCTAGGAACCAATTTCCATGTCTGGTTCTTCTCAATCATTTTAAACTCCTTCTGCATTGCAACAATCCACTTTGGATCCTTTTCGGCTTCAGAAAAATCTGTAGGTTCTAATACAGCAACATTACATTTTTCATAAATTTTAGAAAGTAATTTGGTTCCTCTTACAAGTGGATCATCAACATTTTCATCTTCTTCTTCTTTAAAAGAAAAATTAGGAACATATTTCCATTCATCTTTCTCCCAGCTCCATTGTTTATCTTCAGTAAAATAAACACCTCTGCTTATTAGAAGCTTACCAGATTGTGGTTGGAAGACTCTATAAGCTTTTGAAGTTGTGCTATAGCCAATGAAAACTCTAGCTTCTACCTTTTTGTCCAACTTATCTCTTTTCACCTTTGGCACATAAGTAAAACAAATACATCCAAAAACTTTAAAGTTTTAAATAAAAGGTTTATAGCCATACCATGCTTCATAAGGAGTTTTTCCTTTCATTGCTTTTGTAGGAAGCCTGTTTAATAGAAACACTGCAGTGTTTGCAGCTTTAGCCCATAACTTCTTTAGAAGTTCTTTCTCATGCATCATGCATCTAGCCATCTCCATTATTATTCTATTCTTCTTTTCACTCACTCCGTTTTGTTGAAAAGTGTAAAAAGTAGTAAGTTGGTGCCCAATCTCAGCCTCTTCACAAAAGGAATTAAATTGATCTGAGGTATACTTTTTTTCATTATCAGACCTTAGAACCTAAATTTTACAACCAGCTTGATTTTCAATCCAAGCCTTGAACCTCCAAAACACTCCTACAACTTCATACTTGAATCTCAAAAAATAAATCCAGCACATTCTTTTAAAATCATCAATAAAAGCAATATAATATCTACTCCCTTGTAAAGACAATTCAAAATTAGATTTAAAACTAATTCAACATAAAACTAAATTTAAAATTGATTTTAAACTAAATTTAAATTTTAAAACTATTTTTCAACTGATTAAAAAAATAAAATAAAATAGTTTAAAATTCAACTCATATAATTAATTTGTGTGATGGATAGATGATAAAAAGTAGAATATATCTAAATATGTATTACTTTAATAAAATATAAAAATAAAAAATATTATTAATAAATTAAAAAATACGTAAATATTCTCTGGACATATATTGTTAATGTAATAGACTAGAGTACTCCTTATATAGTTGTATTCATATTTTATCTTTAATAAATGTTGATGCTTAACAAATATATATATATATATATATATATATATATATATATACAATGTTATATTATTTATTATAAAATTTAAATATTTTTTAATATAATAATTTAATAATAATTAAAAAATTATAATATATTTTTGTCATATGTAAAAACAGTTTAAAACCAATTTTAAACTAAATCCAAATTTTAAAACTAAATTTAAACCAGTTTTATAAAAATTAAAATGGATTAGTTTATAATCCAATCCATATAATTAGATTTTAAATGGATCTAGATTGGTTTTTTGAAAATTCAATCCATAAACACCTTTACTTGAAACAGTAGCTTGCACTTCCTCCATTAGATCTAAAGAGAAGCTTTTTCCTTTCATTTTGACCTTGAACAAATCCTGCTCACTTGCATCTTTGATCAAGCACATTTTGTCTTCGAATAAGACTGTGTAGCCTTTTTCAAGCAACTGGCCAACACTTAACAAAATTTGATTAATATCAAGCACATAAAGCACATCAGTGATTATTTTTATACCTGAGCAACTTTCAATTGTAATAGTGCCCTTCCCTTTCACTACTATGCACTCTCCATTGCCAATTCTAACTTTTGAAACTATGGTTCGATCCAATTATTTGAACAATTCTTCATCATAGGTCATATGATATGTGCATCCACTGTTAATTATCCAACTTTCACTGTTGTTGCTGGTGGCAAGACAGGTTGCTACAAATAACTGCTCCTCCTCTTCTTGTTGATCAACCCCTTGAGCTTCAATTTTAGGCTGCTTTTTGTTTTTGCAAATTTTTTCCATATGACCAAGTTGGTTGCATTTGTTTGTTGCTACATATGTTAGGCCTTTTTCAGCATCTGAAGTGAGGATGATTCCTCTTCCCACAATGTTGTCAAGGAGGATGATTTGGCTTCTCATCTTCTCCTTTACTGCCTTTGTTAGAATTCTCTCCTTCCTCAAAGTTGCTCCCTTGAGCATTATTTTTTTTTCCTTTGTAGCCATGACTGAGTTTCAATTTGGCGTGTAACGCACCTTCAATCACACCTTCCTCCCTAATGAGTCTCCTTTGTTCTTGGGCTTACAAAGCATATAACAATTCTGCCAAAGTGATAATTGACAAATCTTTTAAATTTTCCAAAGAGGAAATAGTGGATTCAAACCTCTCAAAAACAGTCACAAGAATTTTTTGAACAATTCTTGTATCAGGAAATTTAGTTCCAAGCAACCTCACTTTGTTTACAATGCTTAGAAGTCTGTCAGAATATTCTTTCACTGTTTCTAACTCCTTCATCCGCTGCATCTCAAACTCCTTGATTAAATTCACCACTTGCATCCCTTTGACTTTCTCATTTTCTTCATCCTCTTGTTTGAGAAAATCCCATATAGTCTTTGCCGATTTCAGAGTCATAATTCTAGTAAAGATTGCGTGAGAAACAGCAAAAAAATAGACAAGATTTTGCCTTTGATTTTCGTTGTTTTCTTTCCTTGTGAAACCTGATTTGATTTGGCGTTGGATTTTTTGGTAATTGTCCAACCTCATAATCCTCCTCAATAGCCTCCCAAAGGTCACTTGCATCAAGAAAAGCCTCCATTCTAATTGCCCATAGGTGATAGTTTTCACCCTCGTAAATTGGTAATGTTATGACTGGGTTATCAGATTGCATTTTCAATTCTCAATGTAAGTGTTTAGGTGTTTGGTGGAACTCTCAACTTTACCAGGTCTCTCAAGAACAAATAAAGCTCTAATTACCAAATGTTGGATCTAAGAGAAATTTAGAAAGCTATAAACTTAAAAATGGAAACTCACACTTTTATTCATACTAACAACTTTTAAATACAAGAAACCCATAACTTAAAGTTGATTCTAATTTCACTAAATATAAATTACAAATAAAGCTATTTATAAATATGCAACAACCCATTTATTCTCATAATTTCTATAATTAAAACTCATAAAGTAGGAATAAATACTAATAATAGCTATTGATTCATATTCTCAACATTTTCTTTTTCTTCAATTTTGATATGTCTTTATTTGGATTTAAGTATCGCAACAGACACAATTTAAAATGAATAATGAAGAACACTCGTTAAAATAATTAAAATACGCACATTAGACTAGAATAGCGCATGATTATGAATTACAAGTCCTGCATAATAAAACAGTACTGGTTTATTTAGTGTGTCACAATAAAGCAGTAAATTATGCATTGTTGCATGAACAACACAATGTGATTTTTATTAAAATTATGCACGATTGAGTAAAAATGGAAGAGATTATACTTGTTAAATTAAAATTAAACTCATACTGTAAACCTCGATATCACTATTCTTATATCTAGACAGTAAATTTCTTTGGAAATCATTTATTCAATCTCGGTAAATGATCGAAAAGGTGAATAAAAATAGAAATATAGTAAATAAGCAGTTTAAAAGTTCATAGAACTAAGAAAATAGAAAAGTTTTGAATTATTACATCTTTTATTTTCATAATATGCAATATATTTACTCTCAATACATTTAAGCAATATATTTATCATCATGTAAACAGATGTTTCGATCAACTTTAGTCAATCAAAATAGTTTTTCCTTTTATGGTACAGGATTTAACGAGCTAACCATTTTACCCGATTCTTCTTCTTTCTATTTTGGTGGGCTTTAGAGACAAGTAAAAGGGAATGGAAAGATTAAATATGAATTCGCTAATTTTGAAAATTTTCTTTTGATACTAGTTTTTTTATTTAATATTTTTTATTTCTAACAATGATGTGTTTAACTAAGATTATTATGTGTCACATAAGTGAAAAAGATTAAAAGTTTCAAATTTTAAAAATTAGAGATAAAAAATTATTTTAAGAGACTAAAATTAAAACTTCATAAAATATTCGGACTAAAAATACATTTAAAGAAAGAAAAAAAAAACTCTTGATTTGGAATTTATTTTCATCTGCTGACACTTTTTCCATCCATTGCATGCAAGATATTCTTGGCAAACTAGTCAAGACTTTTCTTTCTTGTTTCAGGTTAATGCAACTAAATCAGTTACATGATGATCCCACATTGCCTACTATCTTCACTACCTACATCAAGAAAATTTTATAGCATCACCCTCCCTAATTATTTCATATGGGTGGCCCAAATTAGTTGGCATGCTTGACAAACAATTGCACTCTAAAATGTACTAGATCAGGTTAGTAGCCCAATAAACCTAACCAAAAACCAGATTCGAGAGAAAGATAAAGCTCAATTCTTCTACACCACGGTTATTAACAGCTAACAGAGTCACCAAGTTTCCTGTATTATTTGCAGAATGATAATGCTGAAGAAGCAGAATGCAAAAGTATGATTTATGTTAAGGTTGTTTTATCACAGTTTAGAGTAATACAGAGATCCTTCGACTCACGCCTGTTTAATTTATCAAAAGGGTCTTCAATCTTGATATTAATTTAAATCCTTAATTTTAAAGTGTAATAGTGTCTGAAATATTGACAATGTTAGATTGATCAACTTAGATTTCAGAGCCTGATGCACCTTTTTCTAGGAGAATTTTTTTTTAAATTTCTAATTATTTACAAAAAGATAATGAGGCCAGTCTTTTTCCTCTTGTATGCTAATAGTCTTCTTTGAAAACGCTAAGTCAATCAAATTGTTCAATTTTACATTAATTGAGAATTTGAAGTTAAAAGGCATTAGGAATGATAAAAAAAAAAACAAAATAAAAAGCCAAAAGTCAAATTCAATTATATTTTTGAATAGCCAAAACCAATAGAAGCAGAGGTCCAGTTCAGTTACACACCCTGCACTCACTGACTTTATGTGTAGAGGCATAAGGGGTGGATGCATTTTCACAAAGGAAGATTGAAATAAGTCATTTTTTTGACCATCACTCTCATTCTCTCACCCATCAGCGTAGACAAAGCATGGATGGCACATGCTGTGTGCACCAAATGCCATTAATTTTCGTGTCCCACCAACTCCTCAATCCACGCATAATTACTCGGCCAGGCCTTCCCTTGTCTCATTCTAAGTTTTCATTCTCCCCTTCTCTTGTGCCCTTATGTTTCAACTTTTTTATAACATTGTCGTATGCTCCACCATATACGATCATACTTGAATCTTAATTTGATTGATTTTATTACTGGTTTTAATTTTAGAGTAGACTATAATCAATCACCGTATTTTCATCGGTGGGAACATGATAATCGATGGAGTTATGATGCCTACCACGTCCTAAGAGACTAAAATGTGAAGCTAATTTTGGCATCTATTTAACGTTAATCAATAGGTCAGGTCTACCTCGGGCAAACATCTATTTAATCACAACATTGTTTCTAAAATAGAAGTAAAATGGGAAGGCCTAAAAAAAATACATACATACATACACATATATACATTTCCATGTATTTTATTATAATTTTTTTGTTAATGTTATAACTGCAAATTTTGTTATCTTACGTATACTTATGCTTTTACACAAGCCAAAATTTGTATTTGTAAGTAATCTACTAACAAAATACTGCGATTTAGAGCAAAAAACAAATCTTGAAGTGGATAGAGTTCGGTTGTATCATGTTAGCCATCCTTTTTGACATTTGATGGCTCCATCAATACACTTTAGTGTGATAGTTTATGGGTCGCTCTGGAAATGAATGTAAATCAATATAAACCCTTTTTAGGCTGGAATCCAACGGTATGAAAACTACCACCTATTAATGCAATGGTTGCGTCATAATCTATGGTGCAACTACTAATCAATAACGAGTTTGTTTACAATAAAGGAAATATGAAAGACGCTAATTAAATGTTGAGCCCTCTTAGGATGAGGCTAAGAGAAAGCAGTGTATCCAATGACTAGACTTTTGCACAACAAAAGTTTTCAATTTATTATAATAATGTTAATTTTTCAATTTATTCAGCAAAATTTCTCTCATAGAGGGGCCACAACCATCCAACCTCGCTCCATTTACACCTAATAAGTGGAAAAAAATTAAAAGAAGAGATGAAAGGAAAGGTTTAAGGTTCTCTATATAAAGATACTTAAGCAATCACAAGTTCTCATCAGTATAGAACATTTTTGTTTCCCTCTTCACTCCGCTGTTACCAATATGGCTCCCTATTCAAACTACATTTCTTTCCTTTTCTTGACAACCCTTTTGTTGCCTCTTCAAATCACTGCCAGAGACAGCCAATTCTTCAGCAAAGTCACCCATTTCAATGAAAACATCAACAACAACAACGTCAAAGAGACAGAGGTTGCCAACAAAGGAGGAAAAGAAATAAACAAGGCAGAGCAACAACCAGTTTTCATCCCCGAGACTGAAAACAGCTATGGCCTATATGGCCATGATTCTAATCAATTTCCTCCCACCACCACCACCACCACTGATGCTTACCACCCTCTCAAAACTGAGTTTGAGGACCCCACCAAGTACACCAACAACAAGTACTACAACAATGATGCCTATAACACAAGGTTTGCAGAAACTGGTTACAACAAGTATTACAACACTGATGCTTATGAGGGTAACCAATACGAGTTAAGCGACACAAAGTCCTCAGAAGAAGGATACAACTCCGTAGGAAATCATCAGAACAACAACAACAACAACCAGAAGTATTACTACAACAACAACCACAACAATTATCATGCTAACAATAACAGGTACTCTTACAACAACAATGCTGCCAACAACAGGTTAAATGGTGAGAAGCAAGGGATGAGTGACACAAGGTTTTTGGAGGGTGGAAAATATTATTATGACATTGAAGCGGAGAAGTACAATCCAACCGCACTCTATGGTGACTCAGCTTCTAGGGGAGTGAACACTCATAACTTGTACAACAACAGGGGTAATAACTATGGCAATGACAACTACAATGGGTACCAGAACCAGGAGGAGTTTGAAGATGAACAACAAGATGGCTTCCAGCCATGAGCTTTGATCATTAGCAAAGTGAAGAATTCACTTTTCTTTTGAGTATTCTCTCTGGGTGTTCCCTCTTTTAATTGTGCTTTAGATTCAAGAAAAGACAAGTTAAAAGATATGTTAATTACGGAGGGCTTTTCTTTTCTTTTTTATTTTACTTAGTAGTAATTTGCATTGTCTCTGTCATGATCGGGATACACCGCATGGAGTACGAGAGCATGTGTAATTTTTGCTTATAATATATTAATAAGTTGTATAATTTGAAGTTTGTTTGTTTCAAGCTTATTTATTTTATTTTACCTTTCTATGTAAGTTCAACAATATTTTTGTTTGTTTTTCTCTTTCAAAGCAGAGCAATACAGACAAAGTAATGAAAAATCAGATAGATACCATTTTTGAACAATGTGAGGGAGCATCACTATATTCAAGTTGAGTGGTTCATGTCAGTGACTAATGTTCAACTTGGTTCATTCATTCAAAGGGTCCCCTGTCTCTCCCTTTTTCTTTGAGTGTAATTAACTAATGTTCCAATATCGTTGGTCAAGCAATAAATTAATGAAAAATACATATTAATGATATGTTAAAATGTATTAAAAGTTACGATAACAGTGGGTTAATAATACTTTTTAATAAAAATATAATTTAAATTTTTTAATCAGCACCTTTAAAATACTGAACATTGGTTATTATTTGTCTTTGGTTTTTTTAATTGCCCAGTTTAATTTTAGCAGCAGTTTTTTAAGTCAAGGCAGTTTTCCTATGCAAGTAATTGTGACTATTTGCATAAAGCCATAAACCATCTACCCCTTTCTCTTAGAAATCTTCGGGCCATCTTTATTGGAATTTTGATCATCATAAGCACTGTCATTTTGATGTTTTACTGTCAAGTTGTATGCAAATCAAGCAGCACAAGATTAGAGCTTCTTCATAGAATGTATATACTGATCATCATCGTATCTTCCTTCCACTAAATTGAGAGAGAATCATATTGCTCATAGGGGGACATGGAGCTATTCGTAGTGAGTGGATAATTTGTGCAATTTTATGATATTATTCATACTTTGGTGAATGCTTAATTACTCTGGCAACAAACAAATTTGAAAAGCTGTCTCCCCCTAGCGGATTAATTATTCATTGCAGCTGTAGTACTTTTTATCTGCTGCCTCATAAATTGTTTTGGGGAACCATTTCAGAAACAAAACGTTCCTTACAGACAAAGATACTTGAAAGCACAAGTCTATTATTCATATAAAGGAGGTTTTTTTTTTTTATAATTATTTTCAAACATAAATTTTGTGTAATAAAAATTTTTTTTAGCTGTGTCAAGGATATTTGAAAACAGAAATCTATGAACATGATTATAATTTGTATTAAAAACGAAAATAAGAATATTTTAGCAAAAATAAGTTTACTAACAAAAATCTCAAAGAAAGTTATTGAAAAACTTATTACATTATATCAAATGTTTTTTCAACACTTTTTTTCTATCTTTTTCGGATCCCTATTTTGGTTTATTGATTGAATTCACAATTTCCCGTGCTTAATGTGAGCTCGTCAATGGTACTGAATTGATAAAGGAGTGGGTTTACTCTTTAGTTGTCAATTCAGATTAAGTTTGCAGATCTAAATCCGTCAATTAGTTGTCAATTCAGCTTTAGAAGAAGTGAATAAACCAAGAGAAAGAGAAGAACTAAGTGATTCAACCATTTTCAAGCAAATATAAAGAATATGTTCATACCTATCAATTGGCCAATCGTTACTCCGCGATTTACGGTGCGGAAAATACAACAGATTATTAAAAAAATAAAAAATGTTAAAGCAAAAGTATCACATGAATGATAGAATTCCATTTTGAATTTACGGGTAGGCAACTTGGCATTTTACGTAGCATTAAATTTGTGCAACAATAAAATATTATTTTTTATTATCAATAAAATATTTTTTTATCAATTATATTAATTTTTGTATATACTCGCATTTTATATTTTATTTATATTTAAATACATAATACTTATTAATCATAAAATCTAAAATACCACCTCTGTTCCATTTTCATCTTTAATCTATAAAAGAAATTGTTTTATTTTTTTAACTTGAAAACTCGATTTAAGCTAGAACAACTTTTATCAATGGATCTACATGCTCAATGATATTTTTTTAAAATTTTCTAGTTTATTTAATTTGTGTTGATAACTTAAATTTCGTTTAGAACGGTTAATTAAATTTTATTTTCATACTGATATTAATACCATTATCACCTGAACCGTGTTACTTTTCATTAATGGTCACAATTTATCTATCCCAAAACGCTGTATTACAGAGAAGGATAGCTTGCATCTATCGATCTATTTATTTACTTTGCTCATTTATGTACTTTAATTCTCAATTCCAAAACATTTTAATAAATATAAATAATAAATATACCGTTAAAATTGTAAGCAGTGAGTATAAATTGGTGCGGAAATAACATAGCATTAAATTTGTGCAACAAACTATCTTAAGAAAAAGATAAAGGTTTGAGACAACCATTTATAGAAAAACAAAACTAATGATATCATTTACAGGAAAAAAAATCCTAATAATATCACTTTGTTTTTAGAAAGACCATCATTTTCATACTCAAGAAATAAATTATAAAACAACCTTACAATTATAAATTTAATATTTTCATATAATTCATTTGCACGTATGGTTGTGCGATAACACGTTATATTTTCAATGTAATACTGTAATACTCAGAGAGTATAATTAAATATATAAAAATTCTCCATCTAAAAAGTGTGAAATGCCCTAATGGGACGGAAAAGTACATTTTATGAAATCCAAAGCCATGAACAGTCATTTTGTTAGTAATTAAGCAGAATAGAGCATGATATTGGCGATGAATTAACAAAAAAATAAATGAAAATTAACGAGGTCAATTAAGATTAAATAAGGGAGAGTGCGATGTTGAAATTGAAAATGTTAGGTTTCGTATGAATTGACTGGTAACCTAAAACACCTAACGCCTCCAGCAGTCAAAATTTGAGACACTTGAAAGTTCACCAAATGCCTTGGAATTGTTATAAATGGTTGACAATTATAGAGGGGTAAAATTTATGAGTATGGAGACCCATTTTATAAAATACCATAATTTGGGTTGAATGATCTGGAAATTCACGTACTACCATCATATGCCACCTACTTGTTTTCCCAGCATAACCAAATTTCATAAACATCCAACGCATTTATCAAGTGTACATTAACTTCCCATTACAGGATAAAAATAAAACGTGTTAACCTCTGATATTAATATTTATTATGCAATTTATTATGATAAAATTTTAATTAAAAAATAATATTAAAATTATGAATTTTGTTAACTTCAATCCTTAAAACTGAGAATAAACAGCTAATAATAGTAAAATTTTATTAAAAAAAATATTTATTATATTTTTATAATTTCAATATAATAATTGTGTATTTTTTTTTATAAATTTTTTTTGTTTATAAATATTTAAACTTAACCTTCAAAGCTTCTAAGCTGAGGTTAATAAAATCTTATTTATAACACTGCTTCTCAGTATTATCTGTCTTAACGATAATTCTTTTGTCTAAAGACATTCATAAGTGTTTTTACAATTATGCTATAAAAAAATAATTTCATATTTTAAAATGTTAAATTTAATCAAATTACATATTAAACCAGACATATGTGAACTGTCTATATTTTTAGTTTTTATCATATTACATTCTCCGATTTAAATATGATTTTATTAATAATTTAATAAGTCGAAATCAAAATTATCTATGACACCAAGTTGTCTCTGATTTAATAATAATTGATTTTTAAGAACATTGAGCTGAATAGCATGCCCTTGCCTTGCCTTAAAGTCAAGAATGTCCTCTTTCATTATTAACCTTTTACATAAAACAAACAAACTTCTTCATGGAATGGCTGAGCATGAGTTGTTAAATATTCATAACCATTAATTTAACAAAATATTTAATAAATATTCAATAACGCATAATCAAACTTTATATAATTATGAGACATCGAGTATTCATAAACTATTAACTTTTATAATAAACATTTAAAAATTATTGAATATGACAAGATTTAATAACTCATATTAATCAATGCATCAGATATTTAATATTCTTGAAAATAACTTAAAACGATAAGTAAAGTAAAAAAAAAAATCCCATATCTTAGTATCATTTAAAAAGGTGAAACTAAGAAAAATGAATATGTCAAAACCATTCCATGCAGTTTCATAAGTAGCTAGCCACTTTTTCTGGTCAATTTTGGGCTTTGCACGATAAATCTTCACATGTTTCAATAATTACAGATACATAACCATTTCTGACCTGCTCTGCTGTGGACTTAGTTTTAGCCCATTTTGTGCTGTAAAACCGTTGACAAAAAAAAACTTAAGGCCCCAAATGGGAGATCCAATTTAAAAGCGCATCATCACTACACAACACAGACAGATACAATCAGCAAGGTAATTTCTATACATCAAAAGCATTATATAGTTTTCAAAATATCTTTTATCTCTCCTAATAAAGTATTTTAGGAGAATTCATTATTTGATTATTAACTAGGAGATTTTCTTAATTCATACACACACAAATTATTGACTGAACAAATAATTCAAAATATATGCTCATAATTTATTAAATTAAAAAAGAGTGATATCACTTACTAGCAAAGGAGATAAACATTTTAACAAGAGAAAGAGAAATGTTGCTAATCATATTTTTTAACATATTTTTCTAAATATATTATCTGTTATTAGTTGAAATTTATTAAAAATTATAAAATTATAAAAAATATTAATTTAAAAGTAAACGAAGTAAATTTTTATAATTTTTAATAAATATTAATGTTAAAAAATACAGTAGATGATATATTTTAAATTTTTTCTTGTAATCATCGTAACAAAAAAAATAGACGTGAATCCTCTATAGTTTTAACGATAACTATAGCTGTAATGCATTTTTGTTAAAGTAGAAACTTTTTATATTCGCTTAAGCAAGATAATTAGCATAAGCAAATAAGATTCACACTTGATGATGTGTGAAGTGCACCTAAATGAGGCAGAAGTAACCTTAAGCATATTTTGCCTAAGCCCTTCCAAGCGAAAATAATTAAACTTAAGTGAAAATGTGGCAAAGAGCCATGTATTTCAATTTTGTATTTCACTTAAACTGTTACAAGCAATTTTTATTATTCTTAAATGAATTTGAAATAGAGAATATTGTTTCAGATA